GGACATTAATAGGCTGATGATGATGATGATGAATGCTGCAGCCGGTAAAAATTTTGATTACGCCATACTTTCATTTTTAGGGAATTTTGTAATGAGACACTGACATCACTTTGAAAATGTCAAGATGGAGTAGTCAATTTTTAAAACTAATTCGATGATTTTAATATTTTTAAGGTGAATAATGAGTTACTTAGCGATGGTAAGTGACTTTGTTAGATTGTATCTCACAGAATACCTATGCTGTGTATAGACAGAAAAGGGCGCGAATGAAGCCTTTCTATCTTACCTTGCTACCCTGAACCTATTCCCCTACCCAAGCCTGGAACTTTAATCACTAACACAATACTACCAAAAGTTTGTATTACTAGGACACTGCTGCAAATATATGGAAGAAATGATTCGACACGTCCATTGGTGTCGGTAGCTTAGGAGACACTGCATTCACCCGACTAAAGATGCTGATTTGATTCCAGTCTGGATAACTAAGCCGAGATAATGTTAGTCTATATAAAAAATAAATCTATACTATACGAGTTAGAAGGTATTACCCAAGCCTGCAACTTTAATCACTAACACAATACTATGAAAAGTTTGTATTACTAGAACACTGCCTTGGAGTCGAAAATATATGGAAGAAATGATTCGACACGTCCATTGGTGTCGGTAGCTTAGGAGACACTGCATTCACCCGACTAAAGATGCTGATTTGATTCCAGTCTGGATAACTAAGCCGACATGATGGTTATTCGGTGTTACCAACCCTTACCAAAATTTTCCCCTAAGTATTTTTTTAATTTCCCCTAAAATCCCCTTAGTATACATTTTTTTAAGTACCTACTTATTACCCAAATCCTTTCGTTGCTCATAAATTAAAACGTCACTATTTAGTTACAGTAAATAATTTTATTGAATAAATAGTTTCCGAAAGGATAATCAAACGAAAATGAGCTGACAGGCTGTTAAATCTTATTTAGCTATTTTGTAACTTTAGTCTATACAGCCTTAGGAAACGACCCGCCACACAGTCAGTTCAGTCGTTTCATATCGTGGTGGTTCCATTCTACGCACAAAACTGAAAGAAAACACATGCCTTGTTTTTCGATTTAATTGCATGTTTTGATAAAAGCCCCTAAAAGAACCCCCAAAAAATTCCAGCCCCTAAAAAATCCGTTTTAACACTTCTAGCCCCTAAATCTGGGGGTAAAACCCCTAAGTTGGGAACCGTGTGGTTATTGGTAAAAATAAATCTATACTACACGAGTTAGAAGGTATTTCTCCACTGCGCAGGGGACTTTGGTTGTTGTATTTACCTGACTTTGGTGAGGGTCACTAAAGCAGCACGTCTGTGAAAAACAGTCCGTGTGAAAAAAACAATGAATTATGTTGATAATCACATCATTATAATGTTAATTTTCGATACGCTCGTTGGCTAAGTAAACCGTCTTAACTTGACTGGACTGAGACGCACTTATGCTATGAATAAATTCTTGTTATGTTCTTTTTCTGTTACTTATTTAACCTACTTATAAGTGTTATGTTTATGTTAATTTTAATATTTTATGTTTTTTTATAAATTTGCTCCAAATACCTTAAAGTTGGCCAAATGGAAAAATCTAGTAAAAATACTTTAAAAGGTATTGTTATTTTAATGTGGTCTTCTGTAACATGGTTACTTCTCCAGACAATCCCTCTCTTGAATTCCGATTATTTTTAGGGGTAAATATTTTCATTGTAACCTTATCATATTCTTGAGGGGAAGAAAATGAGAGGCTTCTGACAAATTTAGTTTTAAATTTAGATAATTATACTAGAATTGGATCCATTGGCACTATGAAATTAGCAGCTCAAGCGTTGTATGATCAAGGGCCCGTGGTCCGGGTTAAGGGTCCTAAGTCCTTCCGGTTTGTTTTCCAGAAGGACCGCGGTATACCACTATGTACCTATGGTCATATTGCACTAGGGCGATTAATATCACCTTGCGGGTGCGCGGACAGTCGGCAACGGTTGCCGCGACCACACCCGCACTCCCGGCGTGCATTGGGGGGACTGCGGTCCTCAGAATGTACGCCGGGTGACCGGTGCAGGAGTATTGTCTGGTTTTTAGTGGCCCTGTTCAGGGCGTTAGGTAGGGCCCTGCTCATTTCACCCGGCCTAAGGGCTGGCTGAAATGAGTAGGGAGGAGTCCCACATACCTTCTTCTCGCTCCCCCGGAGGTTGAAGATGCGTAAAGCATTTCCCAGACAAAAAAAAGGGCGATTAATATGGTATCGATAAATGATTGTATTACGTAATTTAAAATATTCATTTAATAATTAAATTGTCTTAATTATTTTGTAAATATTCCGCTCAGATCAACACGAAAAAAATAGTAATTTATGGCACAATGTACCTTGTTTTTAGCGAGTTTCTGATATTTCGGCACTGTTGCAAGCGCCATGATCACGGATTCACTTAGTAAAGTAGTATCGATCGCTTCGCTAAAATCTCGAATAAAAGATTTCGTCGGAGGGTAAACCAATATGTCTGCCAATAACATCTACCCGCAATTACTTCAGTTACTCCGAGATCATGGCGCTTGCAACAGTGCCGAAATATCGGAAACTCGCTAAAAAAAAGATACATTGTAACAATTCCGTAAATAACATAAATTACTAACCATGAAAGTTTTAATCAATATAATGAAAAAAAAAAATATTTTTTTTATGTGAACATTCCGAGCGTATATTTTGATAACCGCCATATCAACTAAAATTGTTCTAAGTCTTGTTTTTAAATAAAGTTTTCGCAAAAGCATTTCCATTAAAACATATGCAACATTCTATTGCAACTCAGTATTTAAGTAGACATTTTTGAGTAAATGGGCTTCGGTTGCAATAATTACAACTTGTTACTTTTAAATACTTAGATTTCCACATACCAGGGAGGTCGTCATGTTAATAAGAGAACAGTGATTTCAAACACTCGGTTAGTTTAACTTAAAAACGTTATAAGTACGTAAACATACGTCGTTTAAGTACTTATAACGTTTTTAGTAGTAAGTATTATTAGTAGTAGTAGTAGTTTTTAGTAGTAAATAAAAAAGTTGAATTAATAATTGTTAGTTACGGGGAAAACGCCCGGGTACGTATCTGTACCTGGTATAGCGTGTCGTGTAGACCGGGTCTTCGCACTCTTATCCTACGGGTGCGGTGTGCTAAATGCTAAGCTAGTATGCAAGTTTCCTAGCTGTGTTGTGTCGTTGTTTGTGGCCTGTGTGGGAGGAGTCGGAGGCGCCTTAGAGCGGCTGATTTCGTCGTCGGGGTATTCTAAGACGTGACTTTTTTTTATTACACAGGTAAAGAATCTTTTTACAGACGACGGCGCCTTTAAGAGGCACACCGCCGAACGGACCTCACACCTGGCTCCCGCAAGTCTTACGAACCCCCCAGTGGCTACCCACCGAGGACCCCGCAACTCTTACGGGCGCTTTACGGTATAATATCCGCTAAAAAGTCCTGCGAATACCCTCTAAGCTGCTTAGCGCGAAGCCGCGGGATCCTCGTTTAGGGATTCTTCCGCGTCAATTCTAAGACGTGCCTAGGCCGACAGAATCGGAGGGAGGTAAAAGGCTTATTTACACCTTCCTCTATAAATAAGAGGCCTATTTTATACCTATCTTAAAATTAGTTCCGATTCCAGCCACGCGCTACAATATCTTGGTCGCACGCTACATTATACCCGTCTCACCTAAGCACTATGCACACACCTGACACATTACCAACATAGTTCCCATGTTAACAATACTCAATTTTGTTGTACTTGTACCACGCATTTTTTTCTGTTCGCTTAATCGGTCAGGGATTTAGTAACCATTGTCTCTGTGAGCTTTGGAAACAGTATTGTTCCAATATCATTTATTACAGTTAAATATGTGATCGCTCATTCGCTGATTATCTGGCTTGTAACGCAATAAATGATTAATAAAGTTAAGGTCTTAGTAAGAACCTACTAAGCTTTGGTCGTATCGCTTGATAAATCATCACAAGATATACTTTTAAAATGTCATATTATAAATAATTAAATATTTCTAACACCCATTAGCACCACACCAATTAGCCTAGCCCCAACGTAAGCACTGTGGGCTTGTGTTATGGGTTACTAGGGTAACGGATAGAATACATATTATCAATCAATCATCATCATCAGCCTATTAATACCCCCACTGCTGGGGCACAGGCCTACCCTATGGAAGGAATAGGGAGATTAGGCCATACTGGTATATATATATATATATAAGCATATTTGTATACAAATACATATTAAACATCCAAGACTGTAGTACAAATGCTCGTATTCATCACACAAACATCAAAAAATAGTTTTCTGTAGAGTCGGTTTACGGACGAAAGTTTTAAGTGATAACGTCATAAAGAAATATTGATGAAAAACTGCATAATTGCTAGCTCTGACGTCACGCGAGAAGAGAACTAAATGTGTACAAGCCGACGCTTGGGCCGATCGTGCCTCTCTATCGCTTGGTCCGCGCTCTCGCTTGCACGCTCAGGCTCAGGCGGAACGTGACACTTTGTCGTGCGTGCAGCCGGAGTTCATCGATTTATAAGACGTAATCATGTCAATATATATTATTACTGAAAACAAACAGCTGCCAGCTCCAGCACCCAAGATCTAGACAAGAGAGCTTTTCAATCCACTAGACGCAATAAATCCACAAGCCTATGCTTATTATGCCATCCACAAGAATCATAAAACTCCTACGACATTGAATCCCTGAAAAAGATAATAACGCCATCGCCGTCTCTTTACGGGCGGGTTAGAGAGAGCGGGACAAAAGATGAGAAGCAATAAATGCTTTGATAGGATCCAGCGGAATCCGGGGTATCGGACGTAGCCAGTTTTAGTGTCAGCCTCCTGGCGGCCCTAGCTTTATAAGACGTTATCACGTAAAAAAACTGTAATATAGTTTGAGTTTCTTAATTAACAAGTGATTTTGTTGGTTTCAGGATATGATGGTGCGGTGATAGGTATGGGGAGATCAGCGGTGGCACTGTGGTGCGCACTGGCGCTGGTCGCCCGCGCAGCCGCTTACACCATAGACTGCAACCCGGAGTATGCGGACTGCGACACTGAACTTAGTGAGTCGCCTACAATCATTTGAATGAAATGAAAAATCTATATTGACCATCTAGTATAAGAAACAGAGGAAAAAAAATATATAAAAAAGAAACTTAACCTAAGAACAAAAATTAATCATTAGATTTAAGACGGCCAATCAGGACCCTGCCTCAGCTTATGCTGATACAATGAGAAAATATTCTCTCACTGTATCAGCGCTGGTATTCTGGCAGGGCCTGTGCGAGGACGTGTTAGGCGCTATAGTAAACAAAATAACAGGTATATTTGGTGTCGATTCTGACGTGACTCTCCGAACCCAAAACCAAATTCAACACCAGTTCATTCTGTATAGAGAATGACAGGACTTCACCGCTGTCAAACCCAAGCCTAGCCTTAGAGAATCACGCCGTAATCGACCTATCGATCGATAATCATTTCGTATTTCAACATCAGTATCAGCCTATCAATTTCCCCACTGCTGAGGTACAGGCCTTCCCTGAAATTATACAATACAATACAATACAATACAAAACACTTTATTGAACACCACAGAAAACATTGCAATAAATACAGAACAATTTAAATTAAGTGTTACAATGGGCGGCCTTATCGCTAAAAGCGATCTCTTCCAGACAACCTTTGGATGGAGAGGATTAGAAGGAAGTGGGAGAGACGCCTGTTAAAATAAATAATAATGTAATTTATTAATATATACCTATACATACACAAACAAATACATATATATATATATATATATATATACATATACACACATATGTATATACATAAATATATATATATATATATACATATGTATATATATTTAAACGTATAAACATATAAATACAAATACATACATAAATCTAGCCCAGTCGGTAGAAATTACAAAAGAGATTATAATATAATAATAATCATTTATTTTCGGATAACAAGGATCCATAGTGGGTTAGTAACAAACAGATTATACTTAAAAACTAATGTTAGTAAATAAACACATGTGGTTTGATGTCACCCTACGATGCCCCCGCCTATATGACTGCATGCAGTCGTATCCAGCGAGCTAGCATCGGAGAGTCCCACCGTTCTGCCAGCGCCCTCAGGATGGTGTTGGGGCTGCCGCGCACCCGTCCAAGTAGCGAGGCGCAGCGCTTACGCATGATAATCATAATCATAATCATAATAATCATAATCAAAATCATTTATTCAGTTTAGGCTGTTACAAGCACATATGAATGTCTAGAAGCTACGCCATCGGTTCGTAAATCTACGGCGGGAGACCTTGTACTGAGAAGAACCGGCAAGAAACTCAGCAAGGGCTGTTTTTCTCTCCCTGTTTTATTATTTACAGAGTCGTCAAATTGAAAAATGACTTTAGAGGTGATTCATGAAGTCACTTTTCATTACATAATTATTAAATATACATTAATTGTTTACCTGCATTTTGATTGCTGTGTCATACAGTATAAATACAAATAGTGTTATTTATATTCAGTGTGACTAAACATTAACTTCAATATTAAGGAAGTTAGGGCAGACTCATCTCCGCTGGCAGCACCCGTTCACGAGCATGACGCATGAACCAGCCATCGCTTCGCTCAACCATATTTTAGGGAACGTAACGACCCGCCTCACACGACACCGCCGAAGAGACTATTATGAGAGCATGACTACCCATAACTACCCATACTAACTACAACATATTTACTTAAATTAAGGTCATTTACCTGTAAGACACAACAAACAATTACAAAACAAAGCAAAGGAGAAATCACGACCACGCCGTTTTGTCAATCAAATATTCTTAAACAGTCTGATAATCTTACTTAAGTTATTAACTTTATATACAGCTTTCAGTTTAATTATAGTATTGTCAACACATAAATAGTATTGTCAACACATAAATCATATAGAAATACCCGTCGGAATGGTTGGAACAGTTCATACCCAAGCATTTTTGTCTGTAATATAATCAGACACTTTATAATATGCTTTCTTAACTAGTGATTTTTTAATGGTCGATTTAAATTTAGTCATGCTTAACTCATGAATATTGCTTGAAACTTTATTGTAAAAGCGAACACTAAGACCTCTAAACGAATTATTGATTTTGTGGAGCCTAGTAGCAGGTAAAGTTAAGTTATTTTTATTTCTAGTATTATATGTATGTATTTCACTATTTTTAGTAAACAAATTAATATTTTTTTTTACAAATACTAAGTTGTCATATATGTATTGTGATGCAACTGTCAATATACCTATTTCTTTAAACTTATCTCTTAATGAATCCTTAACTTTAAGATTATAAATTGATCGAATAGCCCTCTTCTGCAGCACAAATATAGTTTGAATGTCGGCGGCATTTCCCCACAGTAAAATACCGTAAGACATTACACTATGAAAATAACTAAAGTAGACTAATCTGGCAGTTTCTATATCCGTTAACTGCCGTATTTTCATTACAGCATATGCTGCAGAACTAAGTCTCTTCGACAATCCATCAATATGTGGGCCCCACTGCAGCTTAGAATCTAGTGTGATTCCTAAGAACACTGTGGTATCTACAGAGCTCATATGTCGATCCTTTATATTTACATTAGTTTTTACCTGTTTCACATTAGGTAATACAAATTTCAAACACTTAGTTTTCCCTTCATTTAGCATCAAATTATTAACATTGAACCAGTGGACTACCTTCGAAATAGACCTGTTCACGTCATCAATTTGTGACTCCCTACGTTTAATTTTAAACAAAAGTGAAGTGTCATCCGCAAACAATACTATTTCGTGGTTATCCTTTACAAAATAGGGCAAGTCATTGATATAAATTAAAAATAAGAAAGGACCAAGGATTGAGCCCTGCGGAACTCCCATCTTAACCGACGAACCAGGAGATTTTACTCCATTGATGTCAACCCTCTGAACCCTATCACTCAAATAAGATACAATAAGATCCAGAGTGGTATCTCTAAATCCATAGTGGTGAAGTTTCCTGATCAATGTTTCATGAAAAACGCAATCAAAAGCCTTTGATAAGTCACAAAATACACCTAATGTATCTTGCGAGTTCTCCCAGGCATCAAAAATTTGCTGTACAAGCTCAACACCGGCATCGGTTGTTGAGCGACCCCTTGTGAAACCAAATTGTTTACTATGAAGAATGTTATTACTATAAAAATATGATTGCATTTGATCTAGCATAATTTTTTCAAAAATCTTACTAAAGGTGGGTAACACGGATATAGGTCTAAAGTTTGTGGGGTCAGATGTGCTACCCGATTTATGTAATGGAGTTATTTTACTGAGTTTCATTAGATCAGGAAAAACACCACAGTCAACACATTGATTAAAAATGCTAGCCAAAATAGGAGCTATTGTCTCAATTACTGATCCAGAAACATCCACGGAGTTACCCCACAGATCCGCAGTTTTCTTTTTATTTAATTGGTTGAAATATTTTATTACATCTTTACAGTTAACATACTTAAATTTAAATTGACTAGTATATTGTTTTGTGTGTTCTTTTAATATTGATTCAGCAGCAATGGGGGACGAGTTCAAAGATTTTGTAGTTGAAACTGGAATATCAGTGAAAAAGTTCTCAAATGCTGTAGCAACTTCAACATCTGATGTAACATTCTATGTAAATGTCTAATAATTCCCTTTCATTGTCATCCCGTTCCCTGTTGAGTTGATCACACAATTCCTTGGATGACTTAAGTTCTCTTAAAGTCAGCTGGAGTTTGGATTCCTCCTGACGAGATAAAGCCTTACGTGTCATCATGTTTCAACGAAATTAATAAGTATAAAAGTACGAAATTGAAATAACAGGAATTGTCTAACCAAACAGAGCAAGGTTATGTGCGTAATTATTTTGTAAAGTAAGGCAGTATTTTACAATTTTATCCAACACTAATATAAGCACAGTAATAATTAAGTAGTTTTTAATAAAAACTTGCTACACTTACTGCGTATAAAGAGAGAAATTTCTTGAAAACAGATGACAATGACTTACAAAAAAAAAGCCGGTATTATTCACAGTTGTTTTACACTTTTATGCGTTATTCACACTGGTTTTTTTTATAAAACACTTAATATTTAATGTTTACTTAATGATGTATTGGTTTAGAACCTTAAATTAACAAGATTATTGTAAATTAACTTGAAAAATATAGGGACAATTCAAAATCAGCTGTTTGCGACAGTGTTGCCAGAGGAGGATGGCCGCGAAACCATCTGTATGGGCCTCGGCAAACATGCCGGAGGCACTGCAGTGACGCGGCAGCCCCATCAACACCCTGAACGCGTTGTTGTATTATAAAACAAAACAAAAAATACAAAGACAAATAGTGAGACTTCACGAGATTCTTAAAAATGTGAATCGGTTCCGCAAATCGTATCGAAACTGGGAGAGAATTCCACAGCTGTAATATAATTATGTACCCCTTGACCCCCACTGACCACGCCTATTCCTATGTATGGAGTAGACAGTACGAGGCATGATCCTCTACGCAGACTCAGCGTGAATTCATCATCAACAGCCTGCTTATATGCTCACCGCTGGGGCACAGTCATTCATATGGATAGAGTAAAGAGAATGGTGTGGATTGGTGGGGTCTTACGACTGCAGATGTAGCCGAAATCAATGGCTTAACGTGCCTTCTGAAGCACGAAAGAGCTGGAGATAAGCTAACATTTTTGGTTCGATTCCAAAGAGTCAACATAGTATTGTTAGTTGTGGCAGATAGACACGAGATGTCATGTTACTCTTTGCTTGGCTCTTGGCTATGGGCTACACTTTGTTGGCAGCTATCAAATATAGTAGAAAACATTTGCAAGAAAACTATACTTAAGATTACAAATACGTGTTATAATTGTGAGGGAGTGGTAAAAGAAATAAATGTAAGACTGTAAGTAAAGAAGCTCTTTTCATTCAACGAAAATCTACCAAGACACTCTTCAACTGGTGACCCCGTAAGAACAAAACGACCTTCCGATACATCAAGAGTAAGAATCGGAGCAT